AAGTAAATACTGTACCTTGGACAGTAGCTAAATTATTGAGAGACTGGAATGAAATACAGGGGGACCAAGCTCCTTATCTCATCCTGAATCATCTCATGGCTTTTTTGGATCACTTACTACACACACACACACACACACACACACACACACAGAGAGAGAGAGAGAGAGAGAGAGAGAGAGAGAGAGAGAGAGAGAGAGAGAGAGAGAACTGACATTTTTATAACAGGAATGCCAAATGAGATCTTCATTGGACATAATAAAGATATTAGGAAAACACAGCAAGTGAAGTTAAAAGTCATTTTATTTCCCATACCTTACATCATTTAACTTTGAAGAAGTACCAGGGAAAACTAATTGGAAATAAATCAAAACAAAGCATCTCCATAAGGCCTCCTGGTCCTCGTCAAGGAAAAATAAATTTCAGATTTGTAACAAATTACTATGTGCATCTATTTCAGAGCTCCCAATTTTCTTTGACCATAACATACATAATCTATTGATGGCGCATATGCAGCATTGTACACACTTGAATTACTATAAGGGGAGGAAATTTCAGAATAATTGCTAGAAGTGGAGGATAAGGAACCCAATCATACAACTTAAAAAGTAGCAAGGGAAGAAATTAAGTGATTTTATTTTAGAAAAAAACAAAAGTGAAGACACTAAAAAAGCATGTGATGAAATTAATCAACACAAGTAAACCAGACAAGCAATCACTCATGAACAGCAAGCATCAATGGTAGCATTAAATAAATATTACTTTTGCAAAGTCAACCTCAGGAACTCAAGCTGCTGGTGAATTTAACTGATGTGAAACACATCATTTCTAAACAGCACCTTGTCTCAGAATGAAAGGAACGGAGGGGCTGGGAAGTTGGCTCAGTGGTAGAGTGCTTGCTTTGCATGCATGAGGCCCTGGGTTCGATTCCTCAGCACCACATAAGCAGAGAAAAAAAAAAGCTGGCAGTGGCGCTGTGGCTCAAATGGTAGAGCGCTAGCCTTGAGCTGAAGAGCTGAGGGACAGCGCCCAGGCCCAGAGTTCAGGCCCCACAACCGGACCCCCCCCCCCAAAAAAAAGAAAGAAAGGAATGGAGCTTTTAGTGTTGTTAGTGGTCTTCTCTGTTTTCTTTCTTTCTCTCTTTCTGTTTTGTCCTTCTTTTCTTTCTCTCTCTCTCCTTCCTTCCTTCCTTTCTTCCTTCCGTCCCTCCTTTGTTTTCTTTCCCTTTGCAGTACCTAGGTTTGAACTCAGAGCCTCATACCACTCAGACCACATCTCTATCTCCTCTCAAGTTTCTAATCAGCTTTCAGTCCCATCTGGTATACTTTTAAGTATTTTCTTTCTCAACTCCAGTATTCTATTTAATCATATATATTATATATGTGACATACAAATTATCTATCTATCTATCTACCTATCTCTCTCTCTCTCTCTCTCTCTATATATATATATCCTAGTTTCTTCTTCATTATGTTCATCTTTCCCTTTAAAATGTGGGTATATTGAAGATGTCTTGTGTAAAGTTCTTGTCTGAAAACTCCATTATGTTTATCATTTCCTGTCTTGTTACTATTTATTGACTTTTTTAGAGTAGTGACATATAAACTTAGGGCCTCATGCTTGCCTAGCGTGCTTGCTTGGCTGGCACTCCACTATTTGAACCACACCTCCAGCCTGGACTTTTGCTGCTTCTTTTGAAAACAGAATCTCAAGGAGTTTCCTGTCCCAAGCTGGCCTCAAACTGCAATCCTCCATAACTCAACCTCCTGATTAGTGAAGATTATAATTTTAGGTTTGAACCACTGATACCTAGCTCATTGATTTTTCTTTACATTGTGGGTCACATTTCATTACTTCACACATATAATTTCTTCTGGTTGGAATTTGGACCCTGTAAGTATTATATAAGCTGTATTTCTAGATTTTGCTGATATAGTTTTGAAATTTCATTTTCCATTTTATAAAGTTACTAGGTTACGATAAGTTGTTAGCTACATGTCAGCTGGAGTCTCATGAGACTTGTCTTCAAGCTTTGTAAGGTTGGACATATGGTAGCCTTTATTCCAGGAGCAGGTTAGCCAACTATGTGTATGGTCCTCTGAGAATGCCTAGGAGAAATCAACAAGATATCTCTAGCTCTGTATTTGGAATGATGAGAATTCCATTGTCTCCCCAACTCAATGTTAACTCTGGAAATTGTTTTACTTGTAATACCTTTCTAGTTCATTGTGTGTGGGGATGGGGGTGGTACTGGGGGGGGGTGGCGACAGGGGTCTGAACTCGGGGCCTCATATTCGCTAAGTGTTCTACTACTTGAGCCATGCCTGTATCCCTCTTCGGCTTCAGTTATTATGTAATAAGGTCTCACACGGATTCCCAAGGCTGGCCTCAGAGCACAATCTTCCTGCTTATGCTTCCTATATAGTTAGGATTGCAGGAATGAAATACTGTGTCTATCTTGTTGATTGAGATGAGGTCTTACTAACTTTTTCCCACACCAGTCTTGAACCATGATCCTTCTAGTCTCTACCTCCCAAGAAACTAAGAAGACAGACGTGTTTTACCATGTCCAGCCTTAATAACTCATTTTTCTCTAGTTCTACTATCCTACTCCATTAGTTCCAACTACTTCTAGTTTCTCCTACTCGAAACTCTATTCTTCCACCTCAGTGGAACCAATTCATTCTCATTTATTGTCCCTACATCGTAGCTTAGAAAATGCTTTCAATTAGGAATTCAAGGTGATTACAAGGCTCAGTTTGTCCCTTTCTTCTCTCTCTGGGGGGGGGGAAAGGGGGGTGCATATTATTGCTCTGCCCATTGCTCAGTGTCTCACTGTACTGTTTGGTGTAATTGTTACATGCCTTACTGATTTACAGTGGGACAGAAAGTATGGCAGCAGTTCCTCTGCCAAGTGCAGAAATGGCAGTCTATATTATATTCCATAAAGGAAAATTTCCGGTATTAAAATTAGTGCAAATAAATTTTGTTGGCAGGCTTCAGAGGTCTGTTACTAGTTCTTAAGGCTTCAAATTTTCTTATTTGTTTGTTGTGTTAGAAATTGAACACAGGAACTTGTGCATGCTAGTCAAGCACTCTACCTCTCAGCTACACCGCCAGCCCCTTGTGGGTTTTTTAAAAATTTGTTTCTCGCTTTTCTTGCTTCAGTTTCTTGTCTGGCTCTTTATACCCAATTAAAACCCACTATTGCCTTTTTTCTTTTCTAAAACACTTCTAGCTTATCTCCTTTCTATTCATCTTGAAATCCTCTGGGTAGAATTAGACCATTTTTAATACCTTCGCTTTGAATCACAGAGATAGCTTCACGATCATCTCTTAGAAAATTGTCCACTGGGGATGTTGCTTTTGTTAATCTTAGAGCATTAAGATGGAGTCATAAGAGGCCTTTCAGATCACCTATCACAACCTTCTAGTTTCACTCATAAAGGAATTATGTTCTAGGAAACTTCAGTAACTGCCCCTAAAACGTCCACCAGGAGCTTAGCAGGATGAGGATTCAAAATTATCTACCTAAATTCAAGGATTGTTGTTGTTGTTAGTGTGTTTATTTCATACTGCTTTCTTTATCAGAAAAAGAATTTGTTCAGTAGGATTTCCAACTCATTTTAGCTCTTTAATGAGACTAATGTCAATAAGAGTTAAGTTGGAAGCTGATTATGTTCATGCATGCTTAGAATACCAACAGTTGGGAGACTGCAGTTAAAGATTAGGAGTTTGGGGGAAGTCTGGGTGACATAATGAGACCCTATCTCAAGAGAAAAAGACAGGAGGAGGAGGAGGAGGAGTAAGAGAAAGAAGAAAAGGAGAAAAACTGATTACTCTCTACAATTTTTAACTCATTTTGAAAATTTTCACATTTAAAAAAAATTTTTGCTAAAGTCCTTTTGTGTTTAGTACATCAAACAAAGCCTAGTATAACTAAATCATCAAACTCACTCCTCCTGCTGGAAGGAAGAATAATGACAGACAGTAAATCAAAAAGCATCCAGTTAATCCACCAGCTAGATGGCTAGATGCTCAAGTGAAAAAGCAGAGGTACAAAACAAATTGGGGAGACAAGTCTGACACAGAAAACACTTAAGACACAATACAAACTCTATTCTTCAGCTCCTAGGCCAGAAATCTTCACTGTTCTCTTGTAGCAAATAGAAGGTATGTGACCCCAAGTCAAAATACTTGTAGTGGGGCTGAGGACCAGGGCATAGCCCAGTGGTAGCGGGTCTGCCTAGCTGGGTTGGATCCCAGCACCAGTAAAAGAGAACTTGTAGAATATAATCAAACATGAGGATACATTTTGCACTTTTAAAGTCACAGGAACTTATGGAAGAGTCCCTCTGAGTCAGGGCCCTGCTGCCTTGTTCTGATGTTTCCTGCTGTTTACCTACAGTCCACTTAGTCCCTGTTGTCAGGTATTAATACTGATACATCTGTATCTATGTGTTCTTTTTTTCCCTTAACCTTCTGTGCAGATAGCTTAGGGGTTTTTGTTTTTGTTTCACATGCCAGTCCTGAGACTTGAATTCAAGGCCTAGGTGCAATCCCTGAATTTTTTTACTTAACGCTAGTGCTTTACCACTTGAGCCACATCTCCACTTCCAGCTTTTTGTTCTTAATTAAAGAGTCTCACTGACTTTCCTGTCCAGGCTGGCTTTGAACCATGATTCTCAGATCTCAGCCTCCGCAGTAGCTAGGATTACAGACGTGAGACATGAGGCCTGGCTCGCTTAAGGTATTTTGATCGTGGGGCCTGAACTCTGGGCCTGAGCACTGTCCCTCAGCTCTTCAGCTCAAGGCTAGCACTCTACCACTTGAGCCACAGCGCCACTTCTGGCTTTTTTCTTATGTGGTGCTGAGGAATCGAACCCAGGACCTCAGGCATGCAAGGCAAGCGCTCTACCACTGAGCCACCTTCCCAGCCATCTTAAGGTATTTTTAAGTTACACATAATGACAAAAATACATTGCACAAGAATTCAAAAGGCGTGCTCGCTACAGCAGCATATATATTAAAATTGGAATGATATAGAGATTAGCATGGCCCTTGTGCAAGGATGACATGCAAATTCATGAAGCATTCCATATTTTGCAAAATGAACCCCAAGATAGGGTCACAAGAGGTTTTTTTCTTTGTCACAGTTGTTTTTAATATACTATGTAATTTTTTTGTTTCTTTTGCATGTTCTTCCCTCATGGTATAATCACTGTATTTGCTTCTTGTGCCCTGCCTCTTGTATATACATTTTTCTAATTTGGGGAGGGAGAGGGAATAACAAAATGCTAAAACAAGGATACAGGTTGACTCATTGTAACAATAAGATGTACAAGACACTATGTTGAAAACGAACTTTACAACTTCAGGTTGGAGGGGAGGGAGGAGTTGGGGAAATCGGGAGGGAAGGGATGGTAGGGGAAAAAACAGAGGTAACAATGCTCGATAGGAAATGTACTCATTACCCTAATCATGTAACTGTAACCCCTCTGTACAATATTTTTATAATAAAAATATATTTTAAAAAAAGAATTCAGGGCTGGGAAGGTGGCTCAGTCTTGCATGCATGAGGTCCTGGGTTTGATTCCTCAGTACCACATGAGCAGCAAAAGCTGGGATTGGCGCTGTGGCTCAAGTGATAGAGCGCTAGCCTTGAGCTGAAGAGCTGAGGGACAGTGTCCAGTCCGAGAGTCCAAGCCCCACAACTGACAAAAAAGAAAAGAAAAGAAAAGAAGAGTTCAAAATGCACTAATTTCTGTGATAGTAATGATTAGCTTTCAAACTTCAACAAGTTGCAGGAAACTATTAAGAGCCTCCTAACATACAAATTCTTTGTCCTCTTGGATGCAGTGTTGCTGTTCACAAGATGTAAAAGCTCATACTAGTTTACAAGATTAGATAGAAAAGAATAAATACTTTATTAAGCCTCCCAGAATTACTTATTGACTGTCTTTTCCCTCCTCTTTTTATGACATTGCTAATGAAATAAATCAAATGTTGCATATCTATTTATAGCACTGTGTCCTAGATTTACTTAGTTTACCCTGAAGGCAAAAATTAGTCCTTTATTGTGTATGGTTACCATCTAACTGCACTTTATGAGTTAGGGTTAAGGGGATACTTTTAGAATAGCAAATTCTATCAAATAACATTATCAACACTCACTATAAGCTAGGCACTGTACCGAATATTTTTTGCTTTATCTTATTCAATCTTCACAACAGTCCTCTGAACTTGGTACTATTATTACCTCTATTTCTTTAATAGGGAAACTAAGGCATGAGGAGGACAAATAACCTGCTCACAATTTCAGAGCTGGTAAGTAGTAGAAGTCTGACTTCAACCCTTGCCATCTCTGTTTCAACCACTATTTCTCACAATCATGCTTTTTGCAATAGCTCACAATGCTCTGCCACATGCAAAACCAAGCTCGGTCAGGCTCTTTGCACATCAGAAAGTCTTGAGCTTTTGAAAAACCAAGATAGGCTCTGATCTAGAGGCAATAGGAAAGAGATAATGCAGCTTAATCATAACAGACGGCATTGTGCTCAGTTCTCTGAATTGGTCGCTATTCACATTTATACTTGAATATGATAGGTTTAAATCCAAACAGCAGTGATAGGATAAATAAATCATTTTTGAAAAGGTAAATTAGGTGCAAGTTTTAATATTTTATGTACTTTCATTGCAAATTGCTTAGAATAATTGATCATTACAATACAATATAATCCAGTCACTTGAGAAAAGTAATCTAAGGAATTAGTGAACACTGGCTGGAGGTATGGCTCAAGCAGCAGAGCACCTGCTTCATAAGCATGAAGCCCTATGTTCAAATCCCAATACCTTCAAAAAATGAATCACTTGTTTCACATAACAATTATAATATATTGAAGTCAAGGGTCACAGGTTCTAATCCCTGTTCTGCCAATAAATATATGAATGACCTTGAGAAAATCACTTACTTGTACTACAAGACTGGAATGGGCTGAGAATGCATCTGAATGGCACTTGACTAGCAAGCACAATGGTTCTCAGTCCAATTCCTAGTACTTCAAAAAAAGAAAAAAAAAGTGAATTGATAGGAAGACTAGAAAAAATCATCAGTGTGCAGTGCTTCATACGTGACAAGTACTGTCAAGCTGTCTAGCCTCGTGGCTAGTCAGGTCATAGTTCCTGTTAAACCATCCTGTTCTGCAGACCAGCACACGAATGTAACCCATCCCATTGACTCTTCAAGTCCTGGGGAAAAGGTATGCTGGGTACTTGGTGTTCTCTGACAGTGAAGAGCCTTTGTGATTCTCCACTCTATTTGCCCTTCTTGAACCACTGGTTAGACAAACATGGGACTAAAGAATATTTACTAGATAGAATCTTAGTGCAAGAAACTGGAAATTCATTTCTAAGTAAATGACTTAGGCAAAAGAAGCCACTCTACCCACTAATACTGAAGGAAAGACTATATAAAAATTGGAAAACTAGCTTTAGTATGGTCTTGTTTGTGATTATTCAGCACAAGTATGTTTATTGCAGCATTATTTACCATAGCTAAGATATGGAACCAACCCAGATGCCCCTCAGTAGATGAATGGATCAAGAAAATGTGGTTTATATACACAATGGAATTCTATGCCTCCATCAGAAAGAATGACATTGCCCCATTTGTTAGGAAATGGAAAGACTTGGAAAAAATTATATTAAGTGAAGTAAGCCAAGCCCAAAGAAACATAGGTCCCATGGTTTCCCTTATTTGCAATAACTAGTATATGTCTGAGACAAGCAGAAACGGTCAGATAAGTTGATGTTAGGCAAAATGAACCCCAAAATAAGGACACAAGAGGTTTTTCTTTTTTGCTATTGTTTCTAACATATTTATAAGATGATTTCTTTGTTGCTTTGTATGTCCCTCCCCCACGGTAGAACCCCTGTTTTCACTGTATTTGATGTTGGTATAATTTGTGGAGAGGAAGGGAAAAAACAAATTGTTTAAATAGGGATACAGGTGGACCCATTGCAACAATGAGATGTACAAGACGTTATGTCAAAAAACAAACTTTACAACTTTGGCTGGGGGGTATGGGGGGAGGGATGGGAAGAGATGGGAAGGGGAAACAAAGGAGGAGGCTACAATGCTTGATAAGAAATGTACTCATTATCTTGCTCATGTAATTGTAACCCCTCTGTAGGGTATTCTCACAATTAAAAAAATAAATCTGTTATAATGCTAAAAAAAAAAAATGGAAAACTAGATCTGGCATGGTGGCAAATGCTTATATAATCCTAACACTTTGGAACTAGTGACAGAAGGATCTCTGAAAGCTCAAGACCAGCCTTGGGGGCTACACATTTGAGCTCAATCGAATTCACGTTGAGTTCCTTGATTTCAAGGCTAGCCTGAGCTGATAGATAGATAGATAGATAGATAGATAGATAGATAGATAGATAGATAGATAGATAGATAGATAGATAGATAGATAGATAGATAGATAGAGATAGATAGATAGATAGATAGATAGATAGATAGATAGATAGATAGATAGATAGATGGCTAGATAGATAGATAGATAGATAGATAGATTCCTATCTCAAAAAAAGTACAGAAACAAAATGGGGAAAAACTGATTTTGATGGAATTGGGATTGGGGGGGGAGGGGTCAAAGAAGCTGTTACTAGATCTTGAATCTACCACTTGAACATTTGTAACTCTTGGCTATATTACCTAAACTACTTACTAATAATATTTAGCTTCTGGGGTCTATTGTAAAAATGTAAATGGGCCCCAAACAGCGCCTCCAACGTCATCAGAACTAAATATATGTAGGTAGAAACTTTATTAAAATATTATTTTGCAGGAAGTGGCGCTGTGGCTCAAGCGGTAGAGCACTTGCCTTGAGCTGAAGAGCGCAGGAACAGTGCCCAGGCCCAGAGTTCAAGCCCCATGACCGACCAAAAAAAAAAACCAAAAATACGATTTTGCAAAGCATTGCACTGATCTGATTTACGGTCTCTGAAACAGGAAGTTCTCACAACCCTAGAACAATCCTTATAAAAATTTGTGATGGTTTCTTTTTACATTAAACTGATCCAGTAGGAAAGTTTCATGGTCAAAAGACTACAATCTGGCCCGTCCCTGTAATCTTAGCTCTAAACCTGTAGAATATGTCTGTTACTGGCTGAGTTGTTTACAAATTATTTTTTTAGTTAAATCTATTTTGTACCCAAAATGTTATTCAGATATAAACTATTTAGTTTATTTCTTTCTTATTTAACGTATCCAGGCATGCCCAGTGTCTTTTCTTTAACTGAACTTCCTGTAGTATCTTGGATCTTTATCAAACTAAGATGAGCTGCCTTCAAATTTAATATAACTAAATGGACTTGTGGTTAACGAGAAAGCACACTAACTTTTTTTTAAGCACATTAAAAATATACTCAAAACCTTTTGGAAATATCTAACACTGGTCATTAAATAACTATCCTGCAGCTCCCAGCTCCCAGAAATAGCACTTTGTATCTTATTACCTGAAAGGATTAAAAGAAAACTATATATCAGAACACAGTTCCAAGCTATAGGGTCAGAAGGTTTCTGCAGTTTTAGATAACCTAAAACTCCCTCAAACAACACAAAAGGAGATCAAAGTTTTGGCCCAGCAACTTTGACTATCAGATGACTTTAACCCAGTTGGGTTAGCTTGATTATTCTTCTTTAGCCTGATTGGTTCTCTCTATCACCTTGTACCATTAATGGAGAAATTAATCTTTGAAGTTCTAATGGCTCAGCATTTTCAATTATTCATTTCAGTTAAGGAATTTTTTTGTAAGAACAGCTCAGTGTTCTCAGTTACGATAAGCCTACCGGCAGACACCGAAACCCAATCTGAACTACCACCCAAAAAAGCATCATTTCCATAGAAAAATTTTTGAGGATTTAAAAAAATCCCTTCTACTGCTTATTTCCTTCCTTAAAGTCCAAACTCATAATCAGCTTAAAGCACACACTTTGTTTAATAAGCATTTTTACAATTTTCCTCTTGAGAAGTATTTTTAGAAAGGAAAGGGGTAGGAAAAAAAAAAAAAAGAAAAGAATGCAGAAGAATAAA